GACATTTGGAGAGAAGCCACAGGGGAATGCAGGTAATACTTCCCAAATCTGAGATTCTGGGGTCCTCAGAAAGCTGGTGGACCCCTCAGGCAAGGCTGCTCAGTGGTGATTCTGCTAGTGGAATATGATACCCATACAGCCCCCGGGGGGTATAAAATGGCTGCTGGAAAGCCCACTGTGGGCAGCAGGGTGCCCGCCTTATGTGGGGTGGAGGGCCAGCTGTGATGCTGCTTCTCCAAGTGGAGACTGGCCCCAGGATCCTAGGCCTGCGACTGGACACTGGACACTAGACACAGACCACCCAGACCAAGGCCAAGGCTGTCTGTGAGCTGGAACACACCCCACGCACCCACCATGCCTCCCAGATGCCCCTGTCTCTGACTCTGAAAGATCAGCCATCCTGCAGCCTGGAACCTGGAGGGCCTTTACCCTGGCCTAGAAATGCCATCAACCCTGCTTGTGACCTGTCCTTTGGCCCCACCAGGAAATCTCCCGGAGGGACGGGCCTCACCACTTACCTGCCCACCAGCCTGTTCAGGGTGCAGCTTTCTAAACCAGTGCTGGCTAATGGGGAACTCCATGGCCTCTGACCCCAGCCCCTTGGCTGTTCCGAGGACATCAGGATCCCTTCCCTGGGCCCAACCTACAGTTCTGCAGTCACAGCCTCAGTAAGACCCCAGCTCAGCTCTTGACTATCAGGGGCAGGTCACTGGCCTCTGCCTTGGCTTTCTTCCAACTAGTCAGGTGAGGGCCCTGGACCAGGACAGGCAGGNGGCCTCTGCCTTGGCTTTCTTCCAACTAGTCAGGTGAGGGCCCTGGACCAGGACAGGCAGGCGTCACAGCTGAGGGACCCAGGGCCTCGGCTAGGTGTCTCCTAAGTTCTATGCATAACTCATTTAATTTTCCCTACCTGATGGAGAACATATTATCATCACCCCAATTTTCAGGAAATGAAAATGAGGCTCTGGAAGTTAATTGCTTTGCCTGTGTTCACACGGGGAGTGGGGGAAGAAGTTGGATTCAGGGTGGCCATCTGTGCTCCTACTGCTGGGCCACATAGCTTCAGATAGTCCTGGACCAAGGAAGCAGCATTGCCATGGGAACCCAAAAGTCCAAAAGGAGGCCTACTGCACACCTGCCTGCCAGACCCCCTAAGTTACGGGGATGACCCTGAAAACTGACTTGGCTGAATTTGCTTCTCCAGGAGCAGGGGTCTACTGCAGAGTCCAGGAAAGCCCTCTGACATCATGACCTCCTCCCAGGCTTGTCTCTATCACTGCCCTACTGCTGCTTCCCAAACCTGACTTGGGACTGTCCTCCCAGCCATGCAGGCTGCTGGAGCTCACCAAGCAGCCTGCCTTGAATCCTGGCAGTGACGATGATGAAGGCTGGATCAGAATGTCCTGGAACTGCTCCTACCCAGGAAGATGACAGCTGTGAGAGCTGCTGTGGCCCCAAAGGCTGGTGAGGGCCCTGGCCTTTCTTGGAAGGCTCAGTCACATGGGGAAGCACAGGCCCAGGGTGGGCTGAGGAGCCTCCAGCCAGAAAAGAGGGAACAAATGCACCATCCAAGCTGAAGACGACTGTG